AGAATTCAAAAAGGTTTAATTAGTAATAGATATAAATGTCCTGTTTGTGGGTTACCACAGCGTTACGGTCAAACAAGTATGGCGCCAAACATAAATCGCCAATTTCGCCAAGGGGCACCCTCAAGTATATTTTTCCCGTAGTAAGCTATTACCCCATTATTAAGTTTCTGAATTAGTTTGTTTTCTAAATTAAGAATAAAGTATCGCATTTAATATAGTAGCTTGTTTGGTAATCGAAAATATTATAGATTTCAAGTTTGATATAAAAAACTTCGTCTTATGACTGTTAAAAATTCATTAATATTTTTGTTTTAGCCATATTCGCCAGAACAACTTAACTATATTACCATGGAAACTTTTTAAAGGCCTCAAACTTGTTGAATTGTAAGTATTTTTTGCCAATTTTTTTTAATGTTATAGACTTTTTTATAATTTACACATGACATATACTTGTATATGGGTTTCTAAAAGGTTATAAACCAACTGAGATCAATGATTTTGTCATGAAGGTGCAATTTTATTACATTATTATAACAGTATTATTTTTGCACCTTAAGTGGAGATACTACAAAGATACTACGATTTTCAGTTAAAAATTACTTTTACAAAGCATAGAAAAGGAATTTTTTTCATCAACCTCAGAGAGAAGAATAGTATGCTTGACTTAAAGAGAAAAAATGCTATTTTCTAATAAATCCTTTATAAGCATATCTTTTTTCAACCAACTTCATTAATTTTTAAGATAATGCATTACAACTAAACAGGGTTGGCAAGTGTTTGACGCATGCCGGTTTTTACCGGTTTATACCATGGTTTTTACCGTCATGTCAAAAACCCCTCTGTCAAAAACCCATAGTTTTGATAAAACTGTATTTTAATTTGAGTTTAACTGCTTATAATTTAAAATTANAATACATTACAACTAAACAGGGCTGGCAAGTTTTTGACGCATGACGGTTTTTACCGGTTTATACCATGGTTTTAACCGTCATGTCAAAAACCCATAGTTTTGATAAAACTGTATTTTAATTTGAGGTTAACTGCTTATGATTTAAAATTAATTCATTTTTGGGCAATAAAATTAGAAAAAAAGTTGTTAAAAGATATTTAAGAACAGATTTTTGCATTTTCCCAACATGATTATATCAAATCATACTATTTGAAGTAAAATATTAGAATACTAAACAAAAAAATTTCAACATTTCCAAGCATCATTTTGTTTGGCATATTACATTACTGAAGAATGTCAAGTCATTCCTGACTTAGAGTTTGTTAGTAGTTACAAGTTTTGAAAGTTTTGTTTAACTTATTTCTAATATTTAAGAAATGCCAAATTTTAAATTTTTTCTTTTAGTTCTTGAATTTATTAATAGTTCCAAGTTTTTTTTGTTTGTTTGTTTATTTCTAACAATTAAGAAGTGCAAAATTTTGAATCTTTTGCAAATCAAGCTATAGTGATAAAAGTTAAGTATCACTATTTTCAATAAGGATGATACAATATTTCTGTATGAATGTTTATCCTTCTATAAGAATACGTGTATATAGTTGCAAAATCAATAGCAATAATTTACAACATTCATTTATAAAAACAATTAAGTGAAAATAATATATTGTCCGCTATATGTCATAAATTAAAGAAAACAGTAGGTTTTTGACGGTTTTTACCGGTAGAAACACGGTTTTTATCACTGTCATGTCAAAAACCAGTTTTTGACGGCAAAAACCCAAGTGTGCAACTAAATAATTTATCTCAAAACAAAATCAGCAATAAGCAAATCATATTTAAATGACTAGGNTATCCTTCTATAAGAATACGTGTTTATAGTTGCAAAATCAATAGCAATAATTTACAACATTCATTTATAAAGGCAAGTAAGTGAAAAATTTTTATTGTCCGCTATATGCCATAAATTAAAGAAAACAGTTGGTTTTTGACGGTTTTTACCGGTAGAAATAAGGTTTTTACCACTGTCATGTCAAAAACCAGTTTTTGACGGCAAAAACCCAACCCTGCAACTAAATAATTTATCTCAAAACAAAATCAGCAATAAGCAAATCATATTTAAATGACTAGGTTTAATGATGAAATAGGATTAACTGCTACATTCAACCGTCGTTAAAATTAAATAAATAAAAATAAAGAAAAAGAAAAAAAAATGACTCTAGTAGTAATAGAAAACTTTCATTTGAGCTTTTGTTTTAAAATCGTCAATTTTTTTGCTATTAAATATCAATTAGATGCTTCTTCTTTTAATATTTTTTCCCTATTGATATGACAATCTTTCTATTCATATTTTTAAAAGTCGTAAAATTAAATTGAAAAGTTTGCACAAACTATTATATACACTTCAAACTACGTATTATTTCTCAAATTTATAAGTGTCTGAATAAAATATATATTTCAGTGCGAAATGCTTCACATTCGATTGAAACTTTGTCTGCATTTTTAAATGCAAAATAGTCTAAATTCAAAATAGGATAAGCCATTTAGTTCAAAATTAAAATGTAAAACTATTAGAAGATTAAAAAAATGCATAGTTTATGGAATTGTTCACTCAAAAATTGTGTTATTTTTCTTCCTATGTAGTAATACTTTTAAATAAAATAAGTATTGTTAAAACTGTTTTTGGCTACAAAATTTTGCAAAATTTTAGATTTTTAATGTGAATCTTAAGGAAAATGCATACATTTACATATATTTTAAAAACAGATGGAGAAGGCATTCAAATTATTTTTTCTAATATATATTAAAATGGATTTATTTAAATATAGTTTGATATTTGAACAAGTGGTATTTTGCATTAAATATCTTTTATGTAAGATTGTATGTGTGTCAGGCAATTTGTATGAAGGCAATTTTTCTTAACAAATACATATATAGAAATTTTTTTAAGTCGTGTATCGTGTGTTAAAATAGGTCTTCGAAACTATTTCAACAGGTCACACCTATGAACACAATTGTTGAGAATATCTGCGCGACTCTAATGTAATTTCCAAGATTAATTGTAAGTGTTTAGGTGCAAAAAACTGCTTACAAGATTTCTAACTGACTAGGCTGAATAGAATGAAATCATAACTTTAGTGAGACAAGCCGTATAAGATTATACACGTGACTTTAATGAAACAAATTCGCCGAAAATTGAATACGAGAACAAAATGAGACAAGTAGCAGAAAATACTTCTGAAGACACGTTATGAAATGACTTTAATGTCACTTTCAAAAAAATTTGCAGAGTTTCTCAGTGACTTTAGTCTAAGTAAAGTATAGTTGTGATTACCAAGTGATAAAATTCACAATAATTATTTAAAGAGAATTTTATGTGATATCACAACACAAGCAACATCAAAGCAACGCTATGATCTCTTAGAGCCAGTTCAAAACAGTGGACTGTTAATGCTGTAACTATTTTTTACCTTATTATGGCGTGATGTCACTGTGACAATCTGTGCATCCATTTTTTTTTCTGTGCTTATGAACACATAATTCATAAAATCTATTATTTACAAGTACAGAAGTTTAAGTTTAAGAGCAATTTTTCGATAAAACTTGGAAAATTTTATGAAAAAAAGTCCTAAAAATCATTGCATGAAAAAAAGTTCTGAAAATCAAACTATTTTTTTATAAGAAGTTAAATTAATTTCTTTTTATAAACTAATCTTAGTTCTTAATATACTAGTGGGATGCACCCCCTGCTCGCTAACGCTCGCCAACACCCGAAAATTGCTACGCAATCTTATATGGTTTGCTTCGCCAACCAAGCTCGCTTCGCTAACTTAGGTGCATTGCAAATGCACAAAATTCTAAGAATTCAAAACAATTATTCAAGTCCATATAAAAACTTTTTTTCTAAAAAAAAATTCCTTTTAGTAAATACTAAGTTATTAAAATAAATTTAAATTCAAATAAATGACATGTAATTCGTTAAACCTATTAGAAATGTGCTGTAGTATAATTCGTGATATAAATTAAAAATCGTCAAATAAATTCGTAATATATAAATTCATGAAAAAAAGCGCATTCGACAAAATATTAAAATAGAGATCTATCGACAGAGACTACTCACTTTTGCCTAGCTTAATAATATGAAATTGCCGCAGCTGATAATCTCTGGTTATTTCAGTTTCCGTTTTAAAAAGCGCTATATGTTGAGCCACCTTAGCTAGATTTGGCATGTGACATTTTTAGCGGCAATCATTGGTCGATTTTCNAATCGTCAAATAAATTCGTAATATATAAATTCGTGAAAAAAGCGCATTCGACAAAATACTAAAATAGAGATCTATCGACAGAGACTACTCACTTTTGCCTATCTTAATAATATGAGATTGTCGCAGCTGATGCTCTCTGGTTATTTCAGTTTCCATTTTAAAAAGCGCTATATGTTGAGCCACCTTAGCTAGATTTGGCATGTGACATTTTTAGCGGCAATCATTGGTCGATTTTCCAGCGTTGCCATCCAGGAAGTTATAATGAGGCTTTTTTTGTCGTCATGTAAGAGAAATAGTAACGTAAACAAAACAAAGCAAACGTTGCCACGGACGGAAAAGAAATACAGCCAAAATTTGAGAGACACGTAAGAGAATTATATACATTAGATTTTAAAATAACGTTACAAAAAAATTGACCTAAAGGGTTAATATAAAAACTATCAAAAGACCCACACAGTCGTTAATCAATGACAATTATATATAGGGATTTTACCCGCTATGATGCACGTTACGTTAAAGTTTTATTAGATAGAAGAAAACTTGAAATGCTAAATTTTGTTGAAATTAAAACTAGCTCTTCAATAATCATGTTTTAATACTGATAAAAACATTTTTATTAATAAATTAATAATAATAATAACAGAACTACATCCTAAGCCATTTGCTTTGAGTATCTGGTTCTACAGAATTCCTTGGAAAAACAGAGAAAAAAAGAAGATGCAAAAAAGGAGCTTTGATTAAGTAAAGTAGCAAGAGTAAGCACGAAGTATTGAATAACACGTAAATATTCGTTCCAACTCCAAACCTTATTTTTCGTTCGGCTTGATTTCATTGTACTCGTATAAGAAAATGTCTGCTACATATTTATTTTCTTGTCAACATAATATCTACTCCAGAATGGATACATTAGCCTGGTTTGAGAATAGCTAGGACTTCTCTTCTTTGTTCTACTTCTTATCAAAATGTTTAATGCATGCTTTCTATAACTTTTTTGGAACTTTTTGTACCATTAAACAAGGTTAATTATAATTTTTTTTTAATTTTCCAGATTACTTTCCTTTAATTTTTATGTAATGTTAATTGTCCAACAAAAAAGAACAATTTATTCGTCGTCGTTCAAAATCAATTGTTTGACGAGAATTCTTAAATTATACATTTTTATATAAAAGTAATTTTTTTAAAATTTAAATAACTCCTGTGTTAAAATGCACCATAAATAGAAACAAGCGTAGAAAATAGTTTTTGGAAATCAATTATGTATTTTCTTATGAAAAGAAAGCAAATTTGAATTTCTATGACCAAAATGATTCAGATCTCCCTAAAGTTATCAGCAAGTTTAATATTTTGCCGACGAAAATGTCGCCTTCGTGAATATGATTCTTAGAATTTCCATTCATTTCAGAAAGGTTGTTGAAATGATAGAGAACTCACATATGATGAACAACTGAACCATAATGAACATTTTGTTATGGAAAATTGTTGAATGAACTAATCTAAACCTCAAAGTGCGTTGCATAATACTTTAACAAAAAATATACACGCAGTCAAACTGTCATTTAAGTTCTTATACAATATTTCTATCATAACAAAAGAATAAAATAAGAATGTCAATAATTTATAACGTAAACTTTTATGAAATATTGGAAGCCTATGCAAATATTTTAAATTGAATACATGGAATAGAGCTTTAAACAAACAATGCATTACAAACTAAAGTAACAACATTCTCCCATTAAATGCTTGAGGCGAATCTTCTCTCATTTAAAATATTACCTTCTGGAATTGGGAATAGTCAAATAATTCTTTAAAATAATTGTTTGTTATCAGTATCAACGCACGATACGATTAAAATGCCTAGTTTTAAAATGCATAATAGTATTTTGAGCTTTTTCCAAAAGGGTCATATTTCCTTTGATTTTCACTGTTAGGAGGAGTTAAAACTGTTAGGGGAGTAAATAAAAATAAGATTTTGAAAAAGTTTCGTAAGCAAATCTAAAAATTATGCATTTAAAGCAATATGCTGAAAATAGCAAAATAGTACTCCTTTGTTTATTGCAAAATTTGTCCAACTTGGGAGCAGAGACAATCTGGATGATTTTCTGGCAAAGAATGTTTCCCAAGCTCTCCGAATCTTAATTCGTTGAATTACTTTGCATGAAATGTTATCCAAACTGAATGATGTTATTATCTCTAATTGGAACCAATTTCGAAGCCTCATAGAACAAGAATGAGAATAAGTTCCTATGGGTGCGTAGTGCATTGACTAGGGTAGACTGAAACTCGTAAAACTACCAATAATAATACGAAGATGGAAGTATTACCCACTCGTATAATGATTTTGTGCAAAAAGCTTGCTTATTTTCCAGCTTGTTGCTTATAGTAAGATAATAATAAAAGATAAATAATAATTAATAAAAAATAATAAAACATACTTTAACACCAAGAATCGTTTTTTTTTTTTTTTTTTTTTTTTTTTTTTTTTTTTTTTTTTTTTTTTCTTTTCTTGAAACAGTATGAGAGTTTTTAACTCTTTCCAGTTCCTCTTATCTTAAGCGAAACTTTCAAACAAGCAGCACGTTAGGAACTGAGATTTCTTAGTAAAAAACATGCGTGAGGCTTCATCCTATTTAAAAATAGTGGTTGATGAGAAACGGTGTACATTTAGAAGCAAACAGTGCTCAATTTTTAGAGGTTTGCAATATTTTTCCGAAAAAGCTTTGCCAAACTGGTAACACTGGGTCTCAAAAGGATTAATATGCTTTGAATAATGTGTACTAATATTAAAAATAACGTGCCATGTTCGGATAAATATCTTAGCTTTTACAAATGCTATTTTAAGGAAAAAATGCTTTTTTGTAAAATTCGTAAAACACTTTATTTTATAAAAAACATTCTTTTAGTTTGTACTATCAAATTCCCCAAAAGAATTGCCTATACCCTTTAACCCTTTAACGGGCCCTTTATTTCTAATAAAGGTAAATTAAAGTATTTTTGAAATTGAAATTGTTTTAAGAGCAGTGATTGATATGAAAAAAAAGAACTCATTTAGTTCATAAAAATGGCCATTTTTTTTAGTGGTAAATATATTTAACATGACCTATTAGGAACTTACTGACTTTTATTTTTCTTTATTTATAAAATAAATTCCTTAAATGCTACAAACTTCAAAAGGAATTATGTATTTTATACTTTTATACGTTTTTCAAAAGTGACAAATGGTTACGAATTTTATTCAAACTCACTTCAAGAAAGCTGAAGTTATTGAAAAATGGAAACCTAAATTAAAAGTGGTAAAACGTGGTGGTAAGTATACTTATCACTGCCTTCAAAAGGGTTAAGAAGGAATATTTCTGCTATTCCTACTACATTTTCGTTATTTAGTGTGGTTTACTGCGAATAGGAAAAGCGCTTCAACGATTCAAGTGCTAAAAAGTACGAGGGTTGCTTTTTAAGTAAGGGCAGTTTAAAAATTAAATCCAAATGAATTTCCCGTTTTTGTCATCGTTGTAGCGATTTCCACAAAAATGATGTTTAAAATATCGGAAAAGATGAAAAATCTCTCAGCGCACGATCTGGGCTGTAAGGAAGGGTGGTCCAAAACTTCCCAACCGAAAGAGTCCAATAAAGTTGGGATCTTAGCTGCGGAGAGAGTTATTGTCTTAGAATTGCAAAATTCTCTATCAGCATGCCAAGGAATTTCGTTAACCTTATAAATCTGCCAGTGAATGTACGCAGCAGACAGGTTTTTTGCCGACTAAAAGCACATCACTGACTGTATCTCGAGCATGGAGTGACGATTTGTAAAATTTGAACATTTTAAAAACACAGAACTGGCCGCTTAGTTTACCAACACGGATCACATTTGTTTCCAATGAATGCAGGGACACGACAGAAGCACTCGCTGCGACGCACGTGTCACCTATTACTGTACACAGCAAAACGGCTCTTAGTTAAAAAAAAAACTTGTATATATTTAAATGAAAAGGATAATTTGTTATGTAATATTCAATTTAAAAAAAATAAAAATGCATAATTCAAATGTAAACCTAGGCTTTTAACTAGGTAATTTATCAGGATAGGCATCAATATAACATAATCGATAGTATATAAAATTAAAATACTTCTTAATATCTTGAAAATATAACCGTTGAGTGTCATAATTAAGCATAATTACAAATCAAAAACAAATCTGAACTATTTTACTTCCCAAATTAATGATGGTTCATAATTCTTGCACAATAGTTTTTCCTTTTAATTCGACCATGCTATTGTTACAGGTCAATCGATGGAAATCCTATTGTCTGTAATTGTAGCGCAAAATGGCTGCAGAAGACAGCTCTGTCAGACAAGAAGATCCTGGGGCATTTATGGGATCAAGTGACATGCATTGATCCCGGAAATGGAGCAGTCCGCACTCTAATGAATGTTACTTTCCCACTTTGTGGTAAGATTTAATGTTTTAAATTTATGTAATTTTACTCTTTAGATATACAAGGGGGCATATAAATAATTAATAAGATTACCTTAAAATACCGAAAGAATGCCCCTTCAAATGTAAGCGAAAATTATTGAGATGCTAGATGAGTAGGATAAATGGAAACTAAGGAGGAAAAAAAAGATAGTAGATTGTATTTAATAATTATTAAAAAAAAACGTTATACATGTTGCACACTTTTCACGCACTTTCCAAAAACACTTAATACTTCTGATAATGATCTTCTGCAATTACTTCATCAATGTTTATATATGCGTGATATTTTTTTGAAAAAAAAAAGCAGTTCTTTGTTCGTAATACTTCTGATTTATTCTTTAAATGAAAGTTGATGCAGATACAATGTTGTTAATATTATATTTGAATGACAGTTGAATAAAAGGTACATACATTCATATGTTTTCGTCAATATGAATCCAAAGAATAATTGGGCTTGTAAAAGTTTCATTATGGTAGTTTCTAGATTCACTTTATATCTGAGAGTGGGGTAAGACCGGGTACCTTAATTGTGAGAAAATTAGCTCTGTTTTTTAGCAGACAAACTCTAAATTTCCCTTTAGTAGTCAAGAAGAAGGACCTACCATATTGGCGTTGTTTTTGATTAATTCACAGCGTTTGTGTACATGAGTTTATTTTACATTGTCCACTTTCAAATGTTCTCTTGTTTTTAAGCTATCCTTATTTATTAGTCATTAGAATTAAAAAATTATTTTTAACCCAGCTACGTTCATAAAGATTCATACCCTAACAAACAATAAGGATTTTGTTCAATGGTATCAATGTTTTCTATCATTTCGATAACCTCTGGTCTCAATGTAAGACCAGGTATGTTTATGCTTACCTCACGAAAGTTGCAGTTCAGCAGCAGAAGACAACAACATAAAAAGCTGAACAAAGATTTTAAGGGTCCCGAGGCAAAAAGCTTTATCTTGTGAACTTTTTAAATACCCTTTATACAAAATCATAGATTTAAGACACATATAAAGAAATTTTCTACAATTTTCTATAAAAAAATAATTAATAAACAGCATTTTTTGTAAGGAATTTGGTTGGGCCCTCAGCAGTCCAGGGTCGCAAGACAATTGTCCCTCTCTCTCCTCTCCTTAAGAATTGTCTTGGCTACATCACATGTAAATTACATGCATAATTTTCCTAAATTGTCATATACAATAAAAATACCTGCTACTTTTTCACTAAAATTCTAGTATTTCTAAATTTCACATAGAGTTAACATGTATACTAGTTTTACCCCCCTATTGCAGTGATTTGACTTTTTATTGAAAAACTTTTTATGAAAAAGCACATATCTTTTAAGGAATGATATATCACACGCACGCACGCACGCACGCACACACACACGTTACTACCTCATAAGAGAAATAAAAGTATCAGCACAGCATAAGAAAGCCAAAATCATTAACAAGACTTAACAAACTGCACATCACCTTGTAAAAGTACTAATGGAAATAGCAACTCAACAGTCAAAATATTAAAAAGAAATTAAAGTGAATGCACTGACATGCATAGCAGCGTCACAGCCATATATGTCACTACTATGCATCTAGTGAGGGCACAGTTTCTGCGATTGGTGGTATATTGCCTCAAACCATATATTCTACTTCCCCAAGAAAGTTAAAAATCGACTGCCCCAGTAATCTTAAAAATCGAAGTTGAAGTGCCAAATGGGGTCCAGAATTTATAGGGTGATTTGTAAAGTTGAAAGTTCGAGTACCAAACAAGCATGTGAGTTCAAAAATGTGTAAAAAGAAGAAGAAAGAATAATAAATAAAATTGAAAAATAAAATGTCAAATTAAAAACAAACTCTAAAAACATTAAGTTTTATAATAAACTGATTAGAAAGATAGACAGGCATCCGATTATGTTTCAATGTAATCCAATCAGAACCTTCAAAACTTTGGGAGCCCTTCTATACCTGAAAGCTAAGCTTTATTTCACATCGGAAGGCATTCCTTAACTGAATCTTTTCCTCTACGGAATGCCTTTCGATGCGAAATAATCCACTTTAAGCTATATGTAGTCATGCAATCGAGTACGAATTAGTATATTATTTTTTTCAAAGAAAAAGCTGCATTAATAGCTGCATTTTTGTATTTTATGTCATGCCATCATTAAATTGTTGTCTGCGATAGTTAATAGCTTCCTCTGTGTAAAACATCCAGAATTATGCACCCGTACTTTTTTTAATACAGAGCTTCCACAAGTATCAGTACTTCCAGAAAAACTGGTGATGAACGAAACACAATCAGCGGATGTCATATGTTCCGCTACGGGTGATCCGCCATTATTACTTTACTGGAATACAACCGGCCTATTATCGAACTATTCTACAGGGGATGTTGAATTGCTAGGCCTAATATCTTATGATGATACAAATGGTAGTACTGATCTCATAAGCAATTTGGTGGCCAATGATAACAATACCATACAAGTACTCACTATCTACAGTTCTCATGGAGCGGACAATGGGGTTATTACTTGTATAGCTGAAAATGACATTGGACAAGAAGTTGCAGAAGTTTCTTTGGAGATAGGAGGTAAACAGTTTTGCTTTCTCTCGTATTATGACAGATATTTTCCTAATAGGTATTAGGCAATGAATTAAAAAATGTCTATGTAATAATTAATTTGCAACTTCTCGGAGATTTTTTTTAAAGATAAAACGATTCATAAGGAATCCATAGGATTGCTAAATAAATAGGAGCTCCTATTAAAAGAAATACTTAGAAAAGAGCTATTTGCATTTATGTGCGTAATCTTGATAAATAACATTACTTATTGACCAAGTCAATATAACTTTTACTGGAAGAGAGAAAACCTTCGCACGGATCGATATAGTAATCCGAAGAACCCGATGAAACGTGCAGTGGGGGATAAATACGAAAGATATCAAAACCTTCAAATTAATAAACTGCGCAGTGGGGGAAATTAAGAAAGATATCAAAACATTCGACTTAGAATAATAGGATTTCTTGTTTATGGGCGTGCAAAGGCCTTCTCTCTTCTAGATAGTGTTGGTCTAAATCGTTGCTCTTTGGTGTAACAGACCGTAATTTCACAAGTTCCAATAGCAAACTCATTGCGCATTGCTCAGTTTATTAAGCTTTTTGAAAGAAAGCAATAAGTGGCATTCTGAAAAACGCAAAAATTTGATTGTAAAATTATGTTATGATCAGTTGTATGTATAGAACTTTTTCTTTTAGCAGAGGTTATTAAATAGCACGAATTTTAATGAGGTAGTGTGTTCCGTAAGTAGATTGTTCTATACAATTAAAAAAGTTTAATACCTTCAGTTCTTCTTTTTTATTTTAATGTTATAAATTGTTATTGAAATGGAATTCAGAGATCAATAATAGATCGGAGAATAATATATTTATTAGTATATTACACTTGCGAAGAGTAGCACAATTGAAACGTACTCTTGGAAAGAACTTATAGAAAAGAACATCAGAGTTGTAAATTTACTTGTATTTATAGCCCTCTGGGACTGAAACTCAACGTCTAATCTGAACGTTCTGATTGCATGCGGACGAAGAAGAAAACTACTTTAAATAAATGCCATTCTTCAACATAAATTATTTTGCAAAATGAGATGTCTATCAAGTGTAAAGTTAAGCTCTTCGTTAGCTATATAGATCTATCAATTAGTTTTTATTTTTAACATTAAAAGTATACCTTGACAAAAAGAACAACAAATAAAAAAAACCGAAATGCTTGCGTGCTATTTATACCATAGTCTTTGTTATACTAAAACGATTTTTTCGTATGATTTTTTCCCCTTTGGTTTAAGTTACAATCTTGGAAAAAGTATTTGATGAGAAATATTTGAAAAAAATAAATGTAGCTCAATTCGTATAAATTATTATTCATTTAAAATACAATAATTGAAAAGCACAACTTAAAATTAATATACTCCATAACATTTAAAAAAAATGTATAAAATAGGCCTGTATATCTGAGTGACTTTTATCAAAATTCGAAACTCTTTCTTCATTAATGTTGTTCTAATTAATATTCACCTTCATTTGAAGTAAATCTAAAAGAAATAATAACCCCTTTACTTTTTAGCTTCACCCAGAATAATTCAAATGAGCGTCGAGAAAAATTTCTATTGGTGCATTTATTATCAGGTGGCGGGATTTCCAAAGCCTCATCGGACGTGGTACTTCAACAACCAACCCTTACAGAATCCACTTATCAGAGATTTAGAAAATGCCTGGACAATGAAAAACTCATATTTAGCAGATGGTAAAAACATTGTTTGATTTATTCAGCAATGAAATATTACGATGTTCCAAAATTGCTTCAGTCTTCCCTGTGATTTCGCTGCAGTTATTATCGTCGTTAAATTGTTTATAAGTCAAGTAGATTCCAGTAAGATTATCAGTTCGAATTGCATTAAGAACGGAATGAGATTTTTGACTTTTTTCAAAATTGCAGTTTTCTTCAGTTTATTTTCTGAAAGTATTTCAAAGTTACATGGACATTGAAAGGTAAAAAATAGCTGAAAAATAACTTTTCTTTTTATAATCTTAAATAAAATAAAAAAATTATTTTTGTTATGTATGTTACAAAATAGGAAGGAACGTTATTTAAACAATGTTTCCTCCCGAAGAAATGCGTTGGTTGTGTACAAGTATTTTCAAAAACAAACGATCAGATTTCATAGAAATTTTGCTTGTTTCTTGGAGAAAAAATAATGACTAGGAGGATTCAGGAAGATTAAATTGGATTTTTTTGAGAAATTTTTTTAATACATTGAAAACCAATTTAATGCGTAATTATAAATTTAAAAATATAAATTAAAAAAATGCGTAATTTATTCTCATTTGTAATTTTTTGCTTATTTTGTGTTTGTGCAAACAAAAAACGTTAAAAAATTATCTTTAAGTCTTTGATTTAAATTAGGTAATTTATAAATTCTACTTTTTTTGCAGACTGAGTTTATTTCTCTCATTAAGTTTAAGATTAATACCTATTAAATAAGTAAAATATTCTATTTATGAATGGCATACTCCATATTATTCATTAAAACAATGAATTATTCTTAATCACATAATTTTGATCATTGCTGTAAGCCATTTTTATAGGAAAACAAAACCGAAACAAATTTTTAGTGTCACTAGTCATTGAATTTACCAGCTTTTCTATGAAAAATTGTTTAACAATTCTATCATTCTATCTCAAAATATAGATTTTTCAGTACTATTCAAAGTAAAATTGGTTTAATAATAATCAAATTATGATTAATGCATTTATGATGATCAATTAATAATTAATAATAATAATTAAAACATAGGTAAAATGGTTATTGAACCATAATTAATATCCATACATAATATGGATTTGATAGAGTTCTAAGTTAGTATGGAAAGAAAACGGAAAGTTACTCACCAATAAGGGGGGGGGAGGTTACTAATTTTTTTATTTTAGTGTTTTAACTTAGTAAAAAATACATAACACATAATCAAATCTGATTTAGTTTTGCAGTATAAATTGCAAAAAAAAAAATGGTCCCAGGATTTGATAAAATTTAGATCCTATATTGCCTAATAAAATAAGTTGCATTTAAAAACAAATACTTTTCTTACTATGTGAGGTTAATTTTATTTAGAAAATGTTCGGGAGGCTTTAAGGTGAATCAGAGTTTGAAAATTATGTCTGCAGATTTTAAAAAAAAATAGAATTTTGAGAATGCTCTTTTCTATATTAACTCCTGGCAGTCGTTCATAATTTGAAAATTTTTAATGACCTTTCTCTTTTGCGTTATATTTTCAATTGAAGCAATGCTTAGAAAAATATTCGTGACATGTTGTACTGAATAAGATAAAAAAAAATACAATTTTTAAAAAATTTAAAAAAAAAGCATTTTAGTTTGAAATTTTAAAGTAGATGCTAATTTTTAAGGTGTAAAAAGATGTGTTGAAAGGATTTTTTTTTCCTTTTCGATTTGAACTTTTTAAGGATTCATACTAATGAACACTAACAATAAGTTAGGTAGTTAATAATGCATACGAATATTTGAAATTCAATTGCGTGAATTTTTTCTTTAAGAAAACAATAAAAATCATCTCGTTTCCTAAAATTCTTAAGAAGTATTCATTTGATTTCCAGATAAGCAATTTATTTGCAAAAGCAAGTCGTTTTTTTAAAACAATTTATTTACTTACTTTTTTCGCAGATCCATTTTTTAATTTTTAAATTATGAAATGATTTTTTAAGCTGTTTATATTTTAGTGTATTTAAGATCCAGAATTTTTTTAAAACGCGAATATGTTGCTACTCATCTTTTTTTATTATTGTTTGAATTCTGTCGGATTTACAGATGTACCTAAAAAGTATTTCATAGCAAGGGGATTAAGACATTTAAAAACTAATTAACTGCAAAATTATAAATTTAAAAATGAAATGAAAATAAATCACCGCAATTGTTTTACGCAACTTGTTACTTTATCTGATTTGTAATTTGCTTCCTTATCTTGTGCATGAACGAAAAAAAATGAAGAAAAAAAACGTTTAGAAAAATCATCTGAAAATTAATTCTTCTTTCTTTGTAAAGTGAGTTGAATGCTCTTATAATATTTAAGATTAATACCTATAAAATAATTTAAAGATTCTATTAATGAATGATATATTTGATAGTATTCATTCAAATAATGAAATATTTTTAATTACAACATTCATTGTTATAAACCATTTGTTATTGAGAAACATAACTGAAACTGACTTTTTACTGCTTGCATTAAATCTTGTAATTCACTCATTTAGTCTTTTAACTCACTCATTTCAACTGCATTTAGTGAAATTTCTGCTAATCTTTGCTAATTTTCTGTTCAAACTTATATTTTCAATATCTTCGTAACCAAAACAAAATAAAACATTTTTTATACATATTCCCTTATCAAAAAATAACTTTATTAAAGCAGTTCAGCTTAATTTACAACTGAAATTGCCGATGATTACCTTATAAGAACAATAATTTTTTTTAATTTAGGCTGCTTACAGTTGGAAAGAGCTTCACAAGTAAATGAAGGGCTATATACAGTGATTGCGACAAATTCTTTAGGGGAAGTGAACTATACGATAGATGCTAAATTTCATAAAGGTAAGAACATTAATAGTTTGATTTTATATTTCATACTATATTTATTATATTATACTTTTTATATTGGATCTCGTATGCTTCAAAATTTCAAAATATTGGGATTCTTAATTTTTTTATTGTCAATGTGTATATTTTAAGTCTCAAATGCTACTCAATTGTTTTTTTATTATAATTTATAACATAAAAGTGTTTTGCTTTGTTTTATGTTATTGATATATATAAATTGAGCATTTATTATCAAAAATTTGAAAATAATAGATAATAGAGTCAATAGATCTTTTTTATACAATCTTTGTATTAAAAAAAGGAAAAAAAAATCTGATTATTTTCCCATTTTTAAGGATCATTGCTTCAATACCATTGTTTTTAGGGGGTTAAGAAAGAAAGGTTAGGTAAGCAAAGAACTGTTGGAAAGATAATATATATTATTTTTGAAATTGCAAAATATATTTTTTAAAAGCACAAAGTTCTTGTTTACGTGCGCTAAAATGCAGAGTGAAAGGCGAAATTGCACAATCTGCCCAACTCTCACTCAGGAAAAAAACACAACGTCAAGGAATTTAGAGAAGGGTAAATACTGGTATGATCTCGCCTTTGCATGATGCTTCCGCATAGTCCTTCTCAATCTGTTTATTTTGCTTTTATTCGTTATTCATTAGATGTTGACAGAGTAAAAAAATATTAATAATGCAATAAGTAAAAAGTAATAATAAAACTTATGTTTTTTATACAAAATTACAAAAATTAAAAAAAAAAATGCTTTCGTTTAAAAAAGAAATGAAGAAAAGAAAGGGACGGATACTTCGAGGAAAATCAAAAATGATGAAAATAATTTATTTTGGGATTATTAGAGGCTTATAAATGTGAAGTATAAATACATTTCAAGGCTATGAATAATAATATTGTTTAAATAAACAGACAAAATAATGTGCAATATTTGAAAAATGTACTTAAAAAAAGGCGTTTGATATTTTTAAACTATAACATACAAATATTATATATGTAAATTTTAATGTATACTAAATTAATAATACTATTTAAATTTTTCAGTAATTAGTGTATCGCTGATTTTATTTCAGTTTAATGCAGAATATAATGTTTTTAGGTTTAAGCAGTATCAGCTTTTTAAACTTAGAAAACTAGAATGTTATGATTGTAAATAAGCAGTTAAAAAATTTAGGGCAGTAAGAATTTTTAAAAGATATTTAGTAGATAATTTACCTTATTTCTCAGATTTTTTTAAAGGATAAGGTATTTTTACAGTTTACTGTTTCCCATTTTTCCCATTTTTAATGGATAAATTAACAATGAATGAGTTTATAGACTTTGAGCTTATGACTTTGAACTTATGAATGAGCTTTTGACTTAGAGTAGAAAATTGGAAAATTTGAATTTTATGATTGTAATGAAAGTTTTGTACATTTCAAGAAATTAAAATCTCTGCAGTAATAAAATTTTTAGTCTAAAGCATTTTTTAAAATTTAAAAAAATTAAAATATTTGAAGTAAACATTTTTGTGGCCATAAGTAAAGTTAATAGGTGTCATTAATTTTCTAGTTAAGAATGTCTTTTTTTTAAGCTAGATAAATCTTTCTATTTTTTAAATAATTTGTTTAAAATGATTTATTTTCAATTTTATTTCATAGATAAAATACAAAAAGCTTCGTCTTTTTTTTTAAATTTTAAAATAGGAATTTAATTACTTATTCTAACTGAGCAGACCAGTTATTAAAGAAAAGCAGTGAAGATTTACTCACTTTTGTATTTTGTAATAATCACTAAGCTTCCTCACTCACACGTAACAATTACTACAGAAGAAATGAAATTAATCATTTCAGAATAATTTTAAATTCAATAATTTAGTCAGTGACTAAATTATTGTGATAATAATAATTTCGTGATAATGATAATTCATGTCAGTTCCAATTTCGTTAGTGGCTAAATTATCAAATTAAATATTTCTTTTGACAAATCAAATAAACTATCAAATTAAAAATCAATGATTATCACCGAGTGATTCCGACAAACATAAACTATCCTCATTTTATAAAATAAATTCACCTATTCATTTATTAAAATATTTTTTGCGTATTCCTTGAAAAGTGTTATAATGGATTACAAAATACGTAAGTTTCAGCAGCAGAAATGATTAAAAAAAGAGAAAAAAAATAATATAAACAAGGAAAAGATACCTCGGTAGTCTGTTATGTATAGTCTTTCTGTTAATATAACAACGAGCAAACGAACAAAACGGCAATCAACGTCTAACTACAAAATTAATTAATTAACAGCATCTGAAAACGAAAGTAAATTCAGTTCCATTTCGAGTTAACCAGCGCGTCATCGTGACGTCACGTGAAAATCCCGAGTTGAAAACAACGTCACCGTAAACGATTTCTTTCTCTAAAATCCCTGAGCATCTAATTATAAAAAATAAATTCATCTATTCATTTATTAAATTATTTTTCGCGTATCCTTGTAAAGTGCTATAATGGATTGCAAAATACGTAAGTTTCAGCAGCAGAAATGATAAAAAAAAATGAAAAAAAATATTATAAACAGAAAGAAAAAAATACCTCGGTAGTCTGTTATGTAGTCTTTCTGTTAATATAACAACGAGCAAACAAACAAAACGGCAATCAGCGTCTAACTACAAAATTGATTAATTAACAGCATCTGAAAACGAAAGTAAATGCAGTTCCATTTCGAGTTAACCAGCGCGTCATCGGGCGCGTTTCCTTACCCCGTTTTGCTTCTCTCCCTAACTCCTATAATTATTACACAATCATCTCTTTGTTCCCAATCGAAAAACAGAAATTTCATTGAATACAAAATTCCTCAAACTATATATTCTCTAAAAAAAATTATTATAATTGCTTATGTTTCATGTTTAGATCCAGTACTTATAGCACATCCAACCTACGTTCCACAGGGGAGGCCTCCCCCTCCTCTCGAAACTTTTAAAAAGAAGACAGAAATCGAAGAAAAAAATAAATCATCTGCAATGGTAAGTACATAAAATGTTTTTTTTTTTACTTCCTAGTTTACTCAAATCTCCAATTAAGAAAGGGTTATGAAAATAACTTGCAATTTGATAAATTCACTACGGAAGAACATCTGAAAACAGTGAAGTAAAATTTTAAAAAAAAATTATGTGAAAAAAAAACTTTTAAGTGAATTTTAAATGATGCTCCATCTTCGAAACATTGATGTTTGATGGGAGCTAAGATCCGCTGTGTGCCAGTACATATCTTCTGTTCGAACAAATGCCACCCACGAAAATTTGAAATATCATTTTGAGAGACGTATTAATAATAAAAACTTTTTTAAAACATAAAATGATTATATATTATTATCTATATAATCTATTGGAATAGTATTATAATACATCAAGAGGAGCACAATTCACAAATTCATGGCATTTTAACAAAAAAAAATTCCAGCTTTTTCAATTCTGTTGGATTTTCAAATTTTGCTTTCTTATTCGAATTCATAACCAGACCGTTACTTTTTCGTTTTTTTTCCACTTGACTCTGGCATTTTATTTTACACTTCATCTTTTTCAATATTATTTTTAAAATCAATATTCTACCGACATAAAATGGAATTACAAGCTTTAAGTTTTCATCTATGTTTTCCGTATCAATTAAAACTCCTGGTTAATCAGGCCCTGGTACTATGTGGGGCGTAGGCTAACGATTATGTCAACTGTCATCTATCAAAAAAGTACCTCAACATAGAAGCTAGAGTTTGAGCTAAGATGGGATTCGAAGTTCCTGTCCGCGAAGTGGACACTCCACTTCTTCATCTGTTGTGATGCATGTAGGCAACTGAGCTACTGTCCATAGAGATACTGTCCTGTTGTTCATAGAGAAAATATCAAGTCCTTATTGGAGATCAGCATGAATTGGAGTTGTGGATCATCATTCCGAATGGGAAGACCCCTTGAGTAGAGATTGAAGTAATCCGAGCACTTCTGGGTTTTTCAGGTAATCCTGCATTTCCTTAACGATGGTGACAAGGCGATGGGCTGCAGTAGCAGGTGTATCCTTAGGTTGTGAGGTTTTTCTTCTGGGGCTGGCCTCGCACCCAGAGAAATTGGAGGTGTGGCTTCCCTCGCATTTGCAACATTTGGCGGGAGAACTCCTATCCTTCTTGCATTGAAAAGAAAAGTGCATTTCTGCACATTTCATGCATCTGGGTTGTTTCGAACAGGATCGCTGAGTATGGCCGAAGCCCTGGCAACGGAAACACTGTAGCGGCTGCCGGCCGCCACGAAATCTCTCGGTGCTGACTGGGATCTGGTGAATACTCTTCGTAGCGAAGATCTTTTCCTGGTCTGCTATTGGTGCAATGATGATAAAAAGGGGAAGGAGCCTATTAGCCCCTTCCACCTTCTTCTTGAACTGGATCACTTTATGAAGATTCACGTCCATTTTTCCAAATTCATAGGAAATAATATCTGCATCAAAATCATCTGGTAGTCCACGAATGAGTATTTTGGCATGCTTTGTAGGCAGAGCTTTTTCAGTAACTTTGGAAGTCTCTTGGTCATTATTAGGAGTCTCGTTCGTAGTCTCAGATGAGGCAGCAGTCGTTGGCTGCGGCTGGGATAGGGACTCAGGAGGAGAAGAGTTGTTAGGCGTCGCCGGAGAAGAGCTATCAGTGGGTTTAGCAGCATTAGTGGACTTCTTCTTTTTCCTTTTCTTAACCGGTGACTTCTTGTTGTTGCTAGTGGATATTTCCGATTCGGAGGCCGAAGTCTCTTCAATCGGCTCCGTTTCCATAGGAGGGGTGATGTTGATTGCCTCGGAAACTTGGGTAGTCTCTTCCCTATCCATAATTGGACTTTCCACGGGGACACTCGGCTGTTCAGGCATGATTTTTTCAGGAACTGGAGTTGGTTTAGCTGAGACGCAAGTCGTTGTAAATCCCTCGGGAACTAGGAATTCAGTCATGGTCGGTCGTTTGTTGTCAGGAAAATCAACCTTTAGGCGAGGAGTAGTTGACGGTGGAGGAGCGCTAGACATAGTCTTGCCTCCCCGGCCGAATCGATGGTTGGAGCCCCCACGTGAGGAATAACCAATACGTGAAGGTACAAATCCAGGAGCATAACCTAATCGTGATGACATGATTCAATCGCACAGAGCTGGTTACAACACAACCGCACTCTGCAATGGCTTGAGTGTTCAACATAGAATCGAGTTATCACCTCTTATATACTAGTGAATTGGAATTTTATAATTGTATCTATCGTGTATCTAAAAGCTCCAGTGGTGTGTGATCAAGACTGGGTAGCAAGAGCTTGAAGAGGATAATGTCGCAGTCGTAATGAGGAAGACAGCTTGTTCACTGTGTTCCATCCATCAAACTAGACGTGTTCAGATCACGTCTGGAATACCAATGTGGGAAGCTGATTTTCATTGATGTCAACCTTCATCTATGAAAAGTTCCCCCAAGATAGAATCGAGTTAATAGGTGTCTTATGTGAAGACTAGGGAATTGGAATCGTATTATTGTCGTAGTAGTTACATGCACTGCATGTCCAATATCAAGATATTCCATTCTGAATCAGAAAAGTTTTCTAAGAAGGCCATTGCTTGTTGTACCGTTATGTACCTCTTAGACATGGTGCTAAGATAAAGGGCAAGGGGGAGAAATGTATTTGTTGGATGCTGACCACAGGAGGTACATTTATTGGCCAGTTTTTTCTAGCGTTAAAAGTACCTTAATAATAATTTTGCTTCTAAATTGTTAAAAAAAAGTTTTTAATATTATAACGCATATATATATAT